TAGTGCCTAAGGCACTTGACTGCTAACCAGAAGCCTGGTGGTTCAAACCCACCAGCCACTCCTTGGAAGGAAGACTGGGCAATCTACTTCTGTAGAGATGCTGCCTCAGAAACCCAAGGGGGGGTTGCTATGAGTTGAATTGACTCGACAGAAGTGAGTTTAGTTTTTGTGGCTGATAAATGACATAATTAATTAATCTTTTCTGGTTATTTTAAAGTGGAATTATTAAAGAGGTGATATTGTTTATAGGTTAAGAACATAGGCTTGGAGATAGGAATGAAAAACTAAACCAAGCCCATTGCCATCATGAGTTAATTCTGACTCTTAGCATCCCCATAAGGGACAGGGGAGCTAAAAAACATTACTATTACTATTCCCGAGCTTTATGAATAGAAGATAGAGAAGTCAAGAATATTAGTTTACTTTTTGTTTAATGAAAATACAATTCTTAATTTCATAGGATTGTTACCCAAATCAAATGAGGATAATGAATGTCTATGTAACTTGCAAATTGCAATGCACCATCTAATTAATTAATTAATTAATCTTTATTATAGTTACTAATGCAGATAGGGAGGGAGGAGGAGAGGAAGGAAGGAAGGAGGAAAAGGAGAGAGGGAGGGAGAGTGTATAAAATAATGGGTCTACACGTAGGATCATTGTAGTTTTTTCCCAGTAACTGCATTCAGGTTTTTTTTTTTTTTTTTTTTAATTGTGTTTTAGGTGCAAGTTTACAGACCAGAGTTTGTTTTACATTCAGCATTTCATGTATATTTGATTTCACTCCCCAGTTACCATCCCTAACCCTAACCCACTCTCTTCCCCTCCCTTCCCAGTAACCACCACCCCGTGCCCCTCATAGTTATGTACTCCTGTGTGTCCTGCATTTCCTCTGTGCAAATGTTGCCCCTCTGGTAACAATTTAAATTATAATGTAGCATTTAAATGTACAAATATGTAAAATGTTATTAGACTTAAATTATCAATATATTTAATGTATTTATTTAACTAATTTTATCATTCATTTTAACTTTAGAGTTTCTGAAGTTCAATTTCACATTGGTTCCGGAACACGATAGAGTTTCTTACCACCTCTTTATAAAACATTAATGAAAGACATTGATTTTGTTGTTGTTGTTATTGTTGATAATGGAGGATGAAGGGCTATTTTATCTTTTAAATTTCAACCTGGTAGAATTACTGGTGCTGAGTTCAGTAATACCCCGTATGTCATTTAGTAACTGCAGCTTAAGCCATGTAGGCATTCTTAGTGCCTTCCTGGTGTTTAAGAAACTGTTGAAATAAATGTAAATTCAACTTAAAAAGACTGTTTTAGAGTTGTTGTTAGGTGTCATTGTGTTGGTTCTGACTCTCATAGCCACCTTATGTACAACAGAGGGGAACGCTGCCTGGTCGTGTGCCATCCTTACAGTCCTTGCTGGGCTTGAGCCCATGGTCACGGCCACTGTGTCAGTCCACCTCATTGAGGGTCTTCGCCTTTTGCACTGACCCTCTAGTTCACCAAACATGATAAGCTTCTCCAGGGACAAGTCCCTTCTTATAACATGACCAAAGTAAGTGAGAAGAAGCCTAGCCATTCTCACTTCCAAGGAGCATTCTGGCTACCCTTCTTCTAAGACAGATGTGTTCATTCTTCTGGCAGTCTATGGTGTTTTCGGTATTCTTCGCCAGTACCACAGTTCCACGGCATGAGTTCTCCTTGAGCCTTCCTCATGTGTTGTTTGGGGTAATTCTTCACATGTTCAGTCACATCTTCCTTTGAACTGCCTTTTTGCATTTCTTTCTTCCTTTATTTTCTTTTTAATGTGGTCATTGTTTTAAAAAGTCATTCCAAGTCATTCCCAACAATTTTTCTTTTAATTTATTTTGTGCTAATTCTTATTTTTGCAACTACCTTTCAAAGAATAATTATAAGGATTAAAATCCAGTGTTGGCTTTTGAGATTTTTAAAGTAGCATTTCTGATTAAATCCCAGAATAATGTATATGATTTTTGTAATTGAAGAAATTTTTGAAAATATGCACATGTGTAAACAAGGAAATAAAATGACCTCTAAAATCAACATGCAGAAATGAAAACTCTGGTAAAATATCATTGGATAGCCTTTTACTCTTTTCCTTTTGTACCGTATAGACATGTATTTTTCCTTGGAAGATTGAAGTAATGTTGTATATATTGCCTTGCACATGTGTTCATGCTTTTCAATATTGTTCATTCCTAAGCATCTATATTTTATATGTGTATTGTATTTCACATTATGGAAGCATCCTCATTTATTTAACTGATCCTTACTGTTGTATAGAAGGCGCTCTGGTGGTCCTATGACAAAGGCATTTGACTACTAACCAGAAGGTTGGCAGTTCAAACCCACCAGCCACTCCACGGAAGGAAGATGGGGCAATCTACTACCATAAAGATTTACTGTCTTGGAGAGTTCCGGCAAGATGGCGAACTAGGCAGAAGGACTGCACAGATGCTCTTCAACAAAGAAAAGGGAAACCAATTAACACAGACACAGAAGATAATCTTGGACCCCTGAGCCTTGAAGGGAAGGATACAAAAGTGGACTAAACCC